CTGGAGCATCCCTCCACTCTGCCCCAGCACCGGTCAGGAGCCATCAACACTCGGGTTGGGGCCGGGAACGTCATGGTTTCGTTCCTGGGTGTTTGTAAACAATACCAGAGGACGGCACCTTCCCTTCTGTTGGTTCCTAGGACCAGTCTTTCCGTGGCTCGGTCTCTGACCAGGTCTCCAGTCAGCCATTGTTGAACGCGGCTGCTTGCAGACTGACGGACGAATCAGAGTCTGGTTCATCAGGTATCCTTTGGACGTATTTCTCAAGTTCTATCTGAGCACTGTGAGAGATCGGCCAGTTAGCTCCTTACGTGTAGAGTGAGTTGGGCCCTTGATACTGATAGAGTTCTCCCTCTCAACAGATTGTATCTCTGCCTTTCAAAGCAACCCATTTCTCGCACTTTCGTATAGTCAATATTGACTTATTAAATACGTGTATATGTGACATACTTAACATACTAGTTTACCTTGAAAAGCTTCATAGAAAACACCGACCTTACCTAACCTTCTTAGTATGTCAAGATAAGCATCTTATTGCTTCGTAATTACAATTATTACTTAACTTATTATAGGTATAGGTTAAGTAATAATTGTAATTACGAAGCAATAAGATGCTTACCTTAACATACTAAGGTTAGGTAAGGTCGGTGTTTTCTATGAAGCTTTTCAAGGTATACTAGTATGTTTAGTATGTCACATATGCACGTATTTAATATGTCAATATTGACTGTAAGAAAGTGCGAGAACGGGTTGTTCAAAGGGGCTATTCTGCACCTCCTGTCATGTCTCCTGGTCTCATGTGGAGTTATTTTTTAGTGTAAATTTGGAACCAGTCCCTATAATAATTTCTAAGTGTAAATTATTATGTATCTCTCCCGCCTGCGCTCTAGAGAATACAGTAGGCCCCTTGGGTCGTTTCCAGTAATTTAGATGGTTTATTGAGTGAATTCTAGCAGTGAAGGATCTCTGCACGCCTGTCATTTTTCTTGCCGCTATGGCGGCTACTTTACTGTCACCTTTAAAGGAAAATATAAGTTCTGGCTCCTGCGCTGTGGTAAAAGCTAGGCAATAAAAATGTGAACAACATAAAACTCAGTCCAACCACACTATTGAAAATTAGCAACGTAAAAGCCCTGGGCGTATTGAGAGTAGAAGACCTTACGTATAATGAACAAAGGAGCTGTCACAGCCGCAAGAAAAATGACAGGATGAATAACAAGAATCATTCAAATAGATGCCAGACCAATGAGGGGACATTCTTTATGTCACAAGCATGTAGTAAAGTATTACTACAAATTAAATGCTTCTTTTATAGCTGGAAAAGTTGTTAGGTAACCTGGAGAACTTGCAGAACTGGAGAACTTGTACCTGGAGAACTTGCAGAACTGGAGAACTTGTACCTGGAGAACTTGTAGAACTGGAGAACTTGTACCTGGAGAACTTGAACTTTTACTGTTCGAACCACTTCAGTAAATCATCGAAATAACAGCGACGGCATAACATCTCTCAAGCTGTAATCCCTGGAGCGCAGGTGAGAAATATATATCGTGATTTACACCTGGAAAATATTAGAGGGACTGGTTCCAAACCTCACGTGGCATGTAAAATAATCCTATTGAAAGTCTAGGGTGCAATAAGAACCTTAGCCTGAGAGACATGTGTAAACATTAAGTGCCTGAGGCTTCTCAACGCCCTCTCTCTAAATACTGGGGCATATGTAGCCCACTTTCAGTTTTCAAAGGAAAATAATTCAAAATGACACCTGATCAACAGAGTAGAAATTCGTACATTAGACTTTGTGCTGCGGAGTGGAATACCCCTGGCTGACCAGACCATGAGCCAGGCCCACCTGGCTGACCAGACCATGAGCCAGGCCACCTGGCTGACCAGACCATGAGCCAGGCCACCTGGCTGACCAGACCATGAGCCAGGCCCACCTGGCTGACCAGACCATGAGCCAGGCCCACCTGGCTGACCAGACCATGAGCCAGGCCACCTGGCTGACCAGACCATGAGCCAGGCCACCTGGCTGACCAGACCATGAGCCAGGCCCACCTGGCTGACCAGACCATGAGCCAGGCCACCTGGTCTGAGCCTGGTCACAGCTTCCCGCGCCAGGTGATTCCCGGAACCATCTGGTGGCAAGGTGCGACGCTCGCTGTTAGCGCTTCTGTCACTCTGATCCCGTAACTCACTAGCATACCTCCCCTCACTCTGCCCATCACCTAACTCACTAGTTTCACTCTGATCCTCCCCTTTCCCTTCCAGACTGCCATAGCACCCCTCACTCTGCCACTTATATATCATTAGGTCCCCTCACTAACTGCTATAGTACCCCTCGACACCTCCCCTCAGGCCATAGTTCCCCTCGCCCTCAGCAATAACGTCGCATCGCTTCCTCCCTGGATGACATTAACACTCAATTCCCCGTCGTCTTGAGGGACCTCACGGCCCTTCCCCCTCTCACACCTTTCACCATTCGCTTTCCTCTCCAAGCCTCTTCCTCTCTCCACTCGCCTCCCCAAGGTTCTCACCCCGCGCATCTCAAAGCCTCTCTTCAGTGGCCACTGCAAGTGTCTCTTCCCTCGCCTCGACAAGCCTCTGTCTCCGCTCCCATTTCCAAGCTCCTTCCTGCTCGCCTCCACAGGCCTCTCAACACCACAACACCACAGACGGGGGCCTCGTAGCCTGGTACGGGGGCCTCGTAGCCTGGTGGATAGCGCGCAGGACTCGTAATTCTGTGGCGCGGGTTCGATTCCCGCACGAGGCAGAAACAAATGGGCAAAGTTTCTTTCACCCTAAGTGCCCCTGTTACCTAGCAGTAAATAGGTACCTGGGAGTTAGTCAGCTGTCACGGGCTGCTTCCTGGGTGTGTGTGTGTGTGTGTGTGTGTGGGGTGGGAAAAAAAAAAGTAGTTAGTAAACAGTTGATTGACAGTTGAGAGGCGGGCCGAAAGAGCGAAGCTCAACCCCCGCAAAAACACAACTAGTAAACACCTTTCCCACCATCACAACAGCGGAGGTCAAACGTATACAACCGGAGTGTTGCATCAACAAAAGTTCACGTTTCATACCATTCATTTTGTAGCGTGGAACAGAAAAAGTGCAAGAACCAGAAGTAAACTTTCCTTGGTATAGAGCAGTATTATTCACCGTGAACTCCTCGTTGCTGGACTGGTCAACCAGGTTGTTGGACATGGCTGCTCGCAGCCTAACGTAATAATCACAGCCTGGTTGATCAGGTATTCTTTGAAAGTGCTTATCCAGTTCTCTCTTGAACACTGTGAGGGGTCGGCCAGTTATGCCCATTATGTGTAGTGGAAGCGTGTTGAACAGTCTCGGGACTCTGATGTTGACAGAGTTCTCTCTCAGAGTACCTGTTGCACCTCTGCTTTTCAACGGGGGTATTCTGCACATCCTGCCATGTCTTTTGGTCTCATGTGATGTTATTTCTGTGTGCAGGTTTGGGACCAGCCCCTCTAATATTTTCCACGTGTGAATTATTATGTATCTCTCTCGCCTAAAGGGAATGAAATGATCATGACTAGTACACAGAGATTGAACAACTGGGCAAGCACGACACAGGCCGAGCTATTGGGTATTTATCTAGCCACTGAATACCTTAAGCTCAATGGTGGTGGAGTTATTTTCTGTTACTCTAAAAGTGCTCTGCAGTCCTTAAATAACCCATCACAATGTATGTCGGAAGTAGCTTGTAATATTAAATGGAATGTAATTTTTGCCAATGATAATAATTCTTGTATAAAATTTGTGTGGATCCCATCCCATGTTGGAGTTGAAAAACATGACTTTGTAGATCAATTGGCCAATTAGGCTTGCAGGAAAGAAAACATTGATTATGACTTTGGACTATCTAATGCAGTTATTAGAAACATACAAATTAAAGAAATTAATTCAGATTTAGAAGAACTAAGAAATGCCCAGAGACCTGAAAGCTGCAGTATTAAAAGTTATGACAAGTTCTGTAATAATAGGTATTTGTATGGTCAGCACAGTAACCGGACCAGGCAATGTGATGTAGTAATTGCGCGAATTCGCCTTGGCTATAGACACATCTGGCAGGTTAGTGAGGCTGAGCCGCTACCAGAATATTCAGATTGTAAACTCTGTGATAAACCTTTAATGCATTCACTAGAACACTATATTGATGAATGTGAAACCGTAAAGGACTTTAGACCTCCTGGCCTCTTGTACCACCAACTGTGTAACTATTTTATTGACTCAGGTGTTCTGGACGACATCCTAACAATTTACCCAAAATTTGCTTGTCCATTTTAAAGAATGAAGAACAATTTCTACTTATATTCTAAGCTGCATCACTTATGAACCCATCCCTGCCCTTGTGTGGCAGTGCACAATAGAAAGTTGTTTTCACATATCCACACATTAAAACATTGATTGTAACCGTGATATATATGTGCTTCAGCCTACAGTTTAGACCTATTGTCTTATGCATGACCCTCTGTCCTGCGTGACAGTGAATACTAGCATTAACCTCAATTTAATAAGACTATCAAAATCCTCAGATTAGGCAAAATTGTAATTAATTTTGTCAATAAAGATGTTAATAATAAAATAATCTCTCTCGCCTGCTCTTTAGAGAATACAGATTTAGAACTTTTAATCGGTCCCAATAATTAAGATGACTTATAGAGTGGATTCCAGCAGTAAAGGATCTTCGCACATACCTTGTGACTACGTTGTGGAGATTCCGGGGATCAACGTCCCCGCGGTCCTGTCTCCGACCGGGCCTCCTGGTTGGTGGTCTGGTCAACCAGGCTGTTGGAGGCAGCTGCTCGCAGCCTGACGTACGGCAGGACGAATCTATTAGGCCAGACGAGTCTAGATGGTCAGACGAGCCTAGGTGGCCAGACGACCCTAGGTGGCCAGATGATCCTAGGTGGCCAGATGATCCTAAGTGGCTAGACGACCCTAGGTGGTCAGACGACCCTAGGTGGCCAGACGAGCCTAGGTGGCCAGATGACCCTAGGTGGCCAGACGACCCTAGGTGGCCAGACGACCCTAGGTGGCCAGACGACCCTAGGTGGCCAGACGACCCTAGGTGGCCAGACGACCCTAGGTGGCCAGACGACCCTAGGTGGCCAGACGACCCTAGGTGGCCAGATGACCCTAGGTGGTCAGACGACCCTAGGTGGCCAGACGAGGCTAGGTGGCCAGACGAGGCTAGGTGGCCAGACGAGGCTAGGTGGCCAGACGACCCTAGGTGGCCAGACGAGGCTAGGTGGCCAGACGAGGCTAGGTGGCCAGACGACCCTAGGTGGCCAGACGACCCTAGGTGGCCAGACGAGGCTAGGTGGCCAGACGACCCTAGGTGGCCAGACGACCCTAGGTGGCCAGATGACCCTAGGTGGCCAGACGAGGCTAGGTGGCCAGACGACCCTAGGTGGCCAGACGACCCTAGGTGGTCAGACGAGCCTAGGTGGTCAGATGATCCTAGGTGGCCAGACGACCCTAGGTGGTCAGACGACCATAGGTGGTCAGACGACCATAGGTGGTCAGACGACCCTAGGTGGCCAGACGACCCTAGGTGGCCAGACGACCCTAGGTGGCCAGACGAGGCTAGGTGGCCAGATGACCCTAGGTGGCCAGACGACCCTAGGTGGTCAGACGACCCTAGGTGGCCAGACGACCCTAGGTGGCCAGACGACCCTAGGTGGCCAGACGACCCTAGGTGGCCAGACGAGGCTAGGTGGCCAGATGACCCTAGGTGGTCAGACGACCCTAGGTGGCCAGACGAGGCTAGGTGGCCAGAAGAGGCTAGGTGGCCAGACGACCCTAGGTGGCCAGACGACCCTAGGTGGCCAGACGAGGCTAGGTGGCCAGATGACCCTAGGTGGCCAGACGAGGCTAGGTGGCCAGACGAGGCTAGGTGGCCAGACGACCCTAGGTGGCCAGACGAGCCGAGGTGGCCAGATGATCCTAGGTGGCCAGACGACCCTAGGTGGCCAGACGACCCTAGGTGGTCAGACGACCCTAGGTGGCCAGACGACCCTAGGTGGCCAGACGACCCTAGGTGGCCAGACGACCCTAGGTGGCCAGACGAGGCTAGGTGGCCAGATGACCCTAGGTGGCCAGACGACCCTAGGTGGCCAGACGACCCTAGGTGGCCAGACGACCCTAGGTGGCCAAACGACCCTAGGTGGCCAGACGAGCCTAGGTGGCCAGATGATCCTAGGTGGCCAGACGACCCTAGGTGGCCAGACGAACCTAGGTGGCCAGATGATCCTAGGTGGCCAGACAGGCCTAGGTGGCCAGACGAGCCTGGTTGATACCTGGTTGATGGGGTTCTGGGAGTTCTTCTACTCCCCAAGCCCGGCCCGAGGCCAGGCTTGACTTGTGAGAGTTTGGTCCACTAGGCTGTTGCTTGGAGCGGCCCTCAGGCCCACATACCCACCACAGCCCGGTTGTTCCGGAACGTCTTTTAGAAAATAGTCTAGTTTTCTCTTGAAGATGTCCACGGTTGTTCCGGCAATATTTCTTATAGTCGCTGGGAGGACGTTGAACAACCGTGGACCTCTGATGTTTATACAGTGTTCTCTGATTGTGCCTATGGCACCTCTACCCTTCACTGGTTCTATTCTGCATTTTCTTCCATATCGTTCACTCCAGTACGTTGTTATTTTACTGTGTAGATTTGGGACCTGGCCCTCCAGTATTTTCACTGAATATTATTTGGTATCTCTCATGTCTCCTTTCTAGTGAGCACATTTGGAGAGCTTTGAGTCGATTCCAATAATTTAGGTACTTTATCGCGTCTATGCGTGCCGTATATGTTCTCTGTAGTAGTGGACCAAGCTCTCATAAGTCAAGTCTGGCCTCAGTTCGGGCTTGGGGAGTAGAAGAACTCCCAGAACCCATCAAGCAGGTATCAAGCAGGTATCAAGCAGGTATTATTAGAATATTCAAATCCTAATATGCTATCACAATGCTCATATTGTTTAAATCACTTGTGCTGTCCCGTCGTGAGTACTGCTCGATACTCACTTCCCCCTTCAGAGCAGGAGAGTTTTCTGAAATAGAGGGAATACAGAGAACATATACGGCTAACATATACACGATAAAGCACCTAAATTATTGGGATCGTCTTAAAGCTTTCCAAATGTACTTTCTAGAAAGGTGACAGAGGTGACCTAATAATATATACATAGAAAATACTCGAGGCTAAGTCCCAAATTTCCACACTAAAATAACAACATACTGAAGTGAACGATATGGCAGGAAATGCAAAATCGAGCCAATGAAGAGTATAGGTGCTATAGGCACAATCGCAGAACACTGTATGAACATCTGCGGTCCACAGAAGTTCAGTACCCTTACAGCAAGTATAAGAAATACTGCCGGAAAAGTAGAATTCTTCAAGAGATAATAATTTTCCTACCAGGTTGAAGAGGATCTGTGGGCCTGTGGGCCACTCCAAGCAATAATCTGTTGGACCAGGCCGGGCTTGGGGAATAGACTCAACTAAAAACACTAAGACTTGTTCTCACTTATTCACTCACTTGTTCTCACTTAATTCTCACTAAGACTTTTCACTCACTTGAGAACACTTGTTCTCAACTAAGAACAACTAAAAACGGTTGTTATACTCTCTAAAATCAGCTATTATGTTCCAAACTCTGCTCTCCTCTCACTGTACTATGCGCTAATCTATCCCTATCTTACATATGGTATCTGTGCATGGGGCTGAACCTCTGCAAACTACCTCAAGCCCATCATCACCCAATAAAAATGTGCTATGAGAACAATAACAAGCTCGGCTTTCAGACAACACTCAGCCCCATGTTTAAATTCCCTAAACATGCTAAACATAACCTCACTCGACATGTTCTCTTGTGCCAATTACATTTACAAAATCCTGTTCTTAAATGCAAATCCTATTCTGAAACTTTTCTTGGGTAGATGTAATAGAACACATAATCACCACACCAGAAATAAATATATCTTTAATATCCCTAGAGTCAAACTTAATCTGTGTAAACACACTATGCAAATAAAGGGATCTGGTCTATGGAATCCACTCATTAACTAATTGAAAAGCTGTCACACTTTTGCCTTATTCAAACATAAAACCAAAAAGTACCTAATTTCATCTCCATAGCTTCCTACCTAGTGTTTGAAACTGGCACTGAATCTAGTGCTACCCAATTCCCCACATTGGAATTGGAATTCTCCAATTCAAACTGTAAAGTTGTACCTATGCCATACAACTTTACCAATGTAATCATTGCTGTTATCTTATATCGTGTTAAACGCATAGTTTGCTACATTATAGTTTGTTTGTAGTTTTGTAACAAATAGTTTGTAGCAAATTTGCTACATTTGCTACATATATCATGTTATACACATAGTTTGCTACATTATATCTTGCAACAATCCTCAAATTATGCTAAAATGTACATGTGGATAACTCCTCCATTTACTTTAATATATCTATCTTTTTTCTGTCAAATTTCTTATACAATGTATTTTTTATACTTTCTTACAATGTATTTTTATACTTTCTTAAAATGTACCTGTAAATTTTTTTTACAATTTGCTTGAAATTACCTTCTTAATTTATATCTTGGATTAAGGATCTGCCCGAAACGCTATGCGTACTAGTGGCTTTACAAGAATGTAAAACTTCAAGTCTCCGTTCTCTAATAAATCCAATGTACCTTCTTGGATACAAATAAATAAATAAATAATACTTCAGGAACCCCTCTGCAGGTAAGTTCCTGTGAAGAACCTAGACGGCCTGATGAACATAACTGACCACCCGCCAAACACACACCGAAACTACGACGTTGGTACAACGTTCGAACAAGTTTTAACACCACCTAACCAGTTATAACAACCAATATAGCAAGTTGTAACAACGTTCTAATACGTCATTAAAACGTAAAGCCAAGATGTAACAACTTTATTACAACTTGTAACAAGCGGAAAATAGAGACAGTTTCGGTTTGTGTTTTCAGGGCAGATAAATCTAGCAGGCCAGCAGGCCAGACGGGCCTAGCAGCAGGCCAGACGGGCCTAGCAGCAGGCCAGACGGGCCTAGCAGCAGGCCAGACGGGCCTAGCAGCAGGCCAGACGGGCCTACCAGCAGGCCAGACGGGCCTAGCAGCAGGCCAGACGGGCCTAGCAGCAGGCCAGACGGGCCTAGCAGCAGGCCAGACGGGCCTACCAGCAGGCCAGACAGGCCTAGCAGCAGGCCAGACGGGCCTAGCAGCAGGCCAGACGGGCCTAGTAGCAGGCCAGACGAGTCTAGCCAGCTAGAGGAACCTAGAGGCCAAAGGAGCCTAGAAGGCCAGAAGTGTGGGTGCTGATAAGCCTCCCCTCGCCTGGCCTCGAGGGCTGAGAATCAATATATACATCATACTCGCTGAGGGGACCCATCGGCCCTCCGCCACCCCCCTTCACCTTCCCTCAGCCGCTCCTCCATAACACATTCTCTTCGCGATGAGTTTGACGTAAGGGAAGCAGGCCAGGCGTCGTCCCCTCAGGGTCGTCCCCTCAGGCGTCGTCCCCTCAGGCGTCGTCCCCTCAGGGTCGTCCCCTCAAGCGTCGTCCCCTTCAGGCGTTGTCCCTTCAGGCGTTGTCCCTTCAGGCGTCGTCCCCTCAGGCGTCGTCCTCTCAGGGTCGTCCCCCCCAGGCCTCCTAGACGCCCATCAGGAGACAGAGGGGACCACGCCAGATTTGCATCCTTCTATACTCTAAAACCTGAAGGCTTACAGCTCCCTTTCGGTGCTGGTAGTTAACGCTGTATCTGTGCCCCCTCGGAGCAGCCACGCCGGGCGGTCGAGGGCGTGCGTCTCCACGCCGGGCGGTCGAGGGCGTGCGTCTCCGCCCCGACGCCGCCGCTGTGCGCCGCAAGGTGTCAGCCGTGCCAATGTGGAATTAATAGGATGAGAGAGGGGCTGTAGTCGATGTTTGGGGCGGCGCGCGCGAGCCCTTTTCTGGCACCGCTGGAAGGGACAAGAAGCCCACTCAATGGGAGGGGAAATAGGAGATGGAAGGGATCGGGAGTAGGAGGAATGGCTAGGGAAAATGAATAAATGAGAGATTAGAGGAGTATGAGAGGTAATACAAGAGGGGAGAGGTTTGGGAGAAGGAAGAGGGAAGAGAAGGAGTGAGGAGGGAAGGGAGAGGTATGGTAAGTATCAGGACAAATCACTAAGACAGTGTGACTACATAGCACAGCAGGGAAGAGAAGCAAGAGAGAGGGAAGGAAGGAGACAGACGGGAAAGATAAGATGGATGGAAAAGTAAGAATGTGGAGATATCATCTACCAAGACCAGTCATTACCCCCCCCCCAACTCTCTGATGACCCAGCGTGACCTCCAACTCCCTTTGAAACACTAATAACCCCCCTCCCCCCTTCCCCTCCCCTCCCCCCCATCCCAGACTAACGTCTTAATGAACCTAATTAAGCCACTTTTCTCAGCATCTCCGCCAGATAGAGATTTTTGTCTGCCTCCCCCCCTCCCCCCTCGTCTCCTCCATGAATAATTTATACAATAATCGCCCGGCTCTGCCCATGGTGCGAATTACACTGTATAACTTCCAATGTGAAGTGTGTGTGTGTGTGGGGGGGGGGGGGACCCACTGTCCACTGTGTACCAGCCTCTGGCCGCCCCTGCGAGCAGCAAAACAAAAAATAAGTTTTCATTTTTTACTCCCACACAGCCAGCATCCTCCCCCCCCTCCCCCCTACCTTAACCATACTGCTTGAGGGGAGGAGAACTATTTGTTGACCTGTTCGCACACAGTCTTCGGGGATATTAATACTCCATCATCTCTATTTCCCCCGTCCCTTACCGTCTGCCTCGTGATGTGAGTAAATGAAATATTAGGGGGATCATAGCCCATAATGCCCCCTCTGTGGTGGGTACCACCCCCACCACCTTGTACCACTGCCAGTACCAGCCCCTCCATCTTGTACCACTGCTAGTACCAACCCCACCATCTTGTACCACTGCCACTACCAGCCCCTCCATCTTGTACCACTGCCAGTACCAACCCCACCATCTTGTACCACTGCCACTACCAGCCCCTCCATCTTGTACCACTGCCAGTACCAACCCCACCATCTTGTACCACTGCCAGTACCAACCCCACCATCTTGTACCACTGCCAGTACTAACCCCTCCATCTTGTACCACTGCCAGTACCAACCCCACCATCTTGTACCACTGCCAGTACCAACCCCTCCACCTTGTACCACTGCCAGTACCAACCCCTCCATCTTGTACCACTGCCAGTACCAACCCCACCATCTTGTACCACTGCCAGTACCATCCCATCCATCTTGTACCACTGCCAGTACCAACCCCTCCACCTTGTACCACTGCCAGTACCAACCCCTCCACCTTGTACCACTGCCAGTACCAACCCCTCCATCTTGTACCACTGCCAGTACCAGCCCCTCCATCTTGTACCACTGCCAGTACCATCCCATCCATCTTGTACCACTGCCAGTACCAACCCCACCATCTTGTACCACTGCCAGTACCATCCCATCCATCTTGTACCACTGCCAGTACGAGCCCCACCACCTTGTACCACTCTGCTCTTCACTGGTTCTATTCTGCATTTTCTTCGATATCGTTCACTCCAGTACGTTGTTATTTTACTGTGTAGATTTGGTACTTGGTCCTCCAGTATCTTCCAGGTGTATATTATTTGATATCTCTCTCGTCTCCTTGCTAGTGAGGACATTTGGAGAACTTTGAGACGATCCCAAAAATTTAGGTGTTTTATCGCGTACCGTATATGTTCTCTGTATTCCCTCTATTTCAGCAATCTCTCTTGCTCTGAAGAGGGAAGTGAGTACTGAGCAGTACTCGAGACGGGACAGTACAAGTGACTTGAAGAGTACAACCATTGTGATGGGATCCCTGGATTTGAAGGTTCTCGTAATCCATCCTATCATTTTTCTGACTGACGCAATATTTGCTTGGTTATGCTCCAAAACGTTAGGTCGTCGGACATAATTATTCCCAAATCCTTGACATTCTGTTTTCCTACTATGGGCAGATTCGATTGTGTTTAGTACCTGTATTATGTTAAGGATCCTCATTTTTGCCGAACCTGAATACTTGGAATTTATCACTGTTAAACATCATGTTATTTTCTGCTGCCCAATTGAAATCTTTGTTAATATCTGCTTGTAGTTTTTCAATGTCTTCAGCAGAGGTAATTTTCATTCCGATTTTTGTGTCATCTGCAAAGGATGACAAAAAACTGTGACTTGTAATTTTGTCTATATCTAATATGAAAAAAAGAAAAAGCAGTGGTGGAAGGACTGTACCTTGTGGTACAGAGCTTTTAACATCGCTTGGACTCTATTTTATTTGATTGACTGTTACTCTGTGTTCTGTTCGACAGGAAATTGAGTATCCAGCGTCCTACTTTACCAGTTATTCCCATTTATTCACCACCTTGTACCACTGTCAATACCAACCCCACCACCTTGTACCACTGCCAGTACCAACCTCATCACCTTGTATAACTGCCAGTACCAACACCATCACCTTGTACCACTGTCAATACCAACCCCATCACCTTGTACAACTGCCAGTACCAACACCACCACCTTGTACCACTGCCAGTACCAACCTCATCACCTTGTACCACTGCCAGTACCAACCCCATCACCTTGTACCACTGACAGTACCAACCCCATCACCTTCTACCACTGCCAGTACCAACCTCATCACCTTGTACCACTGCCAGTACCAACCCCATCACCTTGTACCACTGTCAATACCAACCCCATCACCTTGTACAACTGCCAGTATCAACACCACCACCTTCTACCACTGCCAGTACCAACCCCATCACCTTGTACCACTGCCAGTACCAACCCCATCACCTTGTACCACTGCCAGTACCAACCCCATCACCTTGTACCACTGCCAGTACCAACCCCATCACCTTGTACCACTACCAGTACCAACCCCATCACCTTGTACCACTGACAGTACCACCTTACCTTGAGGTTGCCTTAAAGTGTTTTCGGGGCTTTCCCCGCGGCCCGGTCGTCCACCAGGCCGCCTCCTTGCTGGACTGGTCAACTAGGCTGTTGGACGCGGCTCCTCGCAGCCTGAATTATGAAGCACAGTCAGGTTGATCAGGTATCCTTTGGAGGTGCTTATTGAGTTCTCTATTGAACACTGTGAGAGGTCGGCCAGTTATGTCCCTAATGTGTAGTGGAGGTTTGTATTGTCCTCTATGTTGTCTACTCAAAAATGATAAATCTTGTACAGTGGTAAAAATCTTAAGTGTCATCTGCAAAGGATGATACAGTGCTATAGATTGGGTCCTTGTTTATGTCCGATAGGAGGATGAGAAAAAGTCATGGAGCAAGCACAGTACCCTGGGGGACTGTGTTCTTCACGGTTGATGGTCCGGATTTTATTTTTTTGACTATTACACATTGGGTTCTGTTAGCCAAGAAATTGTAGATCCATCTGCCTATTTTTCCCGTAATTCATTTTGCACGCATTTTGTGTGTAATAACACCATGGTCATATTTATCGAAAGCTTTGGCGAAATCTCTGTAAATTACATGAGCGTTTTGCTTGTCTTCCATAGCATCCAAGACCATGTCATAGTGGTCCAACAACTGTGACAGGCAAGAGCGCCCTGTTCTGAAACCATGTTGTCCAGGGTTATGGATATGTTGTGATTCCATGTATTTTGTGATCTTATTTCTTAGCACTCTCTCAAATATTTTTATGATGTGTGATGTTAGTGCTATCGGTCTGTAATTTTTTGTCTCTGCCTTATTTCCTTCTTTATGGAGTGGTGCTATCTCTGCTGTTTTTAGTATGTCAGGGATAACGCCAGTATCTAGGCTTTGCCTCCAAAGAATGTGAAGGGCCTGTGACACTTTTTTCTTTTACAGTTCTTGATGAATATGGAGTTCCAGGAATCAGGGCCTGGTGCAGAGTGCATAGACATACTGTTTATGGCTTCTTCAAAATCCAGTGGGGATAGGGTTACATCTAATTCATGGTTTGATGTTGGTATCACATCCATGAAAAGTTCATTTGGGTTATCAATCTTTAATGTGTTTAGTTGTTCGCTGAAAACAGAGTCGTACTGCTTCTTCAGTAGCTCGCTCATTTCTTTGTTGTCATCTGTGAAAGTTCCATCTGCCTTTCGCAGGGGCCCGATACTAGATGTGGTTTTTTATCTTGATTTTGCATAGGAGAAAAAATATTTCCGATTTCTATTTAACTGATGGCAATTTGCTCTCTTTGCCTCTCCTGGGTTTTGTATGATTCTTGTAGCTTGAGTTCAATTGTTTCTATTTCTCTACCTAACCTTCTTCGCCGTTCTTGAGATAGGGTGCGACTCTCAAGTTGTTCCGCGATTCGTTTTCTTCGCCTATGGAGGAAACGCCGTTTCTGTTCCAGTCTGCTTTTTTTTTTTTAGTAGGGGTATGCGGTTTGCGCATATTTATAGAGCTACTTTACTTATTTTTTTTCTGGCACTGGTTCAGGTTTGCATTTTCTAGCTGTTCTTCCCAGCTTATTTCTGCGAGGTTTTGGGTTATTTCCTCCCAGATAATCCGTTTATTATTAAAATTGAATTTGCTGAATTCCCGAATCCCAAGTCCCGAGTCCCAGGACAACCAGTCCCGAGCCCCTGGGGCTCGGGACTGGTTGTGCTCCCCATGCTTGCCAGAACTTCAATTAAGTTGTGATCTGAGTAACAGGTATTTGTAATCATTATGTTCCTGATCAATTCATCATTATTAGTGAAAATGAGGTCCAACGTGTTCCCCTTCCTAGTTGGTTCTACTATTTGCTGGTTTAAGGCAAACCTATCGCACATCCGTAGCAGGTCATTTGCATGTGCCTGCTCATTTAGGCTACTTCCTGGTATTCTTT